TTTTAGGGTATTTATGCATACAATATAAAGCACTTTGAGGCAATGTCTGTTATTGTAACGGCAGTCTGGCAAAGAAAGAGCGGCTAGTGGGTCCAGCGGGCATGTGGTGTGTAGGTTAGCTGGATAACTCGAGGCCAGTCAGTTAAATCGAACAACAGACCTTATTTGATGTTAGCAACATAAGACCATACATGCCAGGTCTCCACGGCTCTCCTCTGTCCATACTTACATGTGCGGGGATGGGTAGTCGCCGGTGCCATCGCGTTACAATGATGAGGTCTCTCTCTGAACAGACTGCTCGGCTGTAATGGCTGCCGCTGCACTCACACACACACTAGGAGTCTCCCCAACTACTACAATATCAGGACAACACCCCCTAGTGGTGCTGTATCACAATAATAAGGGTTGTTACATTATACATTTGTGGAATGTAAATAAAATTGAGTTGAATTCCTACTTTTAATGACTAATGTTAAACCGGAATCACATACTGTTTGTATCTCTTGGTCTCATTGGTCTAAACATTTCTTTTCACCACAGGATCTTAAACCTGGAAATTTAGCCATTAACCCAGACTGTGAGTTAAAGGTAATGCCGAATAACAAAGAAGATGTATCGATGTGAAGTCTCTAGACGTAGTCACGTTCTGTGTTAAAGTTCAATTATTTCCTCCACTTCAGATTCTGGATTTTGGCCTGGCGAGGCAGGCTGATTCTGAAATGACCGGCTATGTGGTGACACGGTGGTACAGAGCACCAGAGGTTATCCTCAACTGGATGCACTATACGCAAACTGGTACAGCTATCTTTCTTATAGGGATGGGGGTAAAAATCAGGAGGATATATTTCTTTCTTAATCCAAAATTGCAGATAAAGATGCTTTGCTTTGGGTTGCAGTGGATATCTGGTCGGCAGGTTGCATAATGGCGGAGATGCTGCTGGGAAAGCCGTTGTTCAAAGGCAACGACCGTATCCTTCACCGTGTTAGTCTAGCGTGTAACCCTTGCCATCTTTTATATGCAGTCTATGTTTAAGACTAACCACCTGAATCCTTCACTTCACAGCAAAATTAAGACTTATTCCCCATTTTCCTATTTTTACTGTCTCTTCATGTTGATCCCATTGTACTTGCAAGCTGAAAAGAAAGCTCACAATTGAATATCAAAAATCAGTTAAACACACCCTTCTTAACCATATTTCACTGTCAGACCTGGACCAGCTGAGGGAAATCATGAAGATTACAGGAACCCCATCTCCTGACTTTATTGTGAAACTACAAAGTCAAGATGTAAGTAATAACCCAGGGTTACAGTTCCCTTTGAGTATGAAACACTGGCTGTAAAGTTGAAAAAAGGGGAGGGCTGTAAAAGATATGCAATTTGCTCTCTCAGACCTCAAAGGGAAAAGCAGCTGTGGTCAGTCTGGTTTCATAGTTGCTATAATGCATTCCAATACAAAGTTGGTCACAGCGTTTTCACAGTTCTCATCACAAAAAGATGCACAGAAGTTTATCAAAACCATTCCTTTTTTCTCACAGTATGTTTGAAACACATATTTTTCAGATTGAAAGCACAGGAGTAGCTGTGTTTAGGACTTTCTCGGCACTGGGAATCGAGTGCAGTGCATCTTCCTTACCTATTTTCTTAGTTACTGTAATGCTCTATTTTTCGTACCATAAGGCGCACCGGATTATAAGGTGCATTAAGTGAAACAAAACAGTCAGATAAGTCAAACTTTACTCAACTCATTCTTCTCGCTACTTCCACTTCCGTAACATTGATTCATTAATGTTGAATTCTCTCGCAGCTGCTCGTTTCCCATGTTGTTGCAGTATATTAATGACTAACCTCGTATTGTGGATGGATTATCTCAGTTGTTCTCCTGACTGAAGTTTGGTCAGTTTACAGCATCCTGCCATGTAATTGCATTTGTTCCTAACCATCGGGAACCCTCGTTAACTTTTTTGAGTGGAAAAAAGTTAGTGTTCATCCTCCAGCTTCACTGTGCTTATGTTATGCTAACATAGCTGTGTTGCTAGTGATCACGTAGCATCGTTATATACCAGCTAGCCCAACTTCAGTAACCCTACAAACGTCACTGCTGTTTAGTTTTCTGTCTTCATTTATGTTGGAAGTGATAGCAGAGCTGTACGTTTGATTTTTTCAGAAATCTCTCAGTCAGAACATGCTATATCATGTTTAGGTGGAAACTAGCGAGCTAACTTCCTGCTAACTTCTAACTCCATTAAATTTAATAAATTCTGTTTTCATGGATGCCTGAGTATTAAACTTAATTGTTACACCTGGTAAAGCAGCCACGCTGATCATTTTATTAAAGATGAAAGAATTTAGACAGTTTTTAACTCTCAGTGATGCTGCAGTGTTCGTTTGACTTTGGGACCTGAAGCGGACGGAATTTTGGACCCAGATTACACAGAGTCCGCAAGGCTTCTGACTACGGTAGTCACAATCCTCCGACAATCCATCAAGCGGTGTGTCTTCATAGCTTACCAAAGTTGTACTAAAACATTTTTTGACAGATTTTTGAGGGCCGTGTACTACATAAAATCAGTTCGAGGTCAGTAATCACATCCAGAATTCATACATAAGGTGCACCAGGTTATAAGGCGCACTAGCGATTTTTGAGAAAATTAAAGGATTTTAAGTGCGCCTTACAGTGTGGAAAATACGGTACATTTCGCCAAACTGGTGCATGCGTCTTATTCTTGTATTCTACATGAGTAGCACTCAGGTGACATTTGCATTGAATTAGACTTTAAAGAATTACTTTCCTGTGTAGACTTTAATCAAGCATGTGGAAAGGTCACCTCTTATGCTCAATTCCATTTCCAAAAGTTTTAATCTTGGTTTGCATTAGATTGATTTGGTGCAGCCCCCTCCTCCTTTTAAAGCAACTTTCTCATGATTGGCTGCCCCTCACAAATAGAAGGTTTGAGCAGTAAGTGGGTGGGGCTTGTTGAAATGACAATAGTAGACATATGTGCTGTCACTGATTTAATATTTCAAATTATCAACCTTCTTCCTCTCCCTCTGCGAACAGGCCAGAAACTACATCAGAAGCTTACCAAAAGTGCCAAAAAAGGATTTGCACTCAATTTTCTCCAAAGCTAGCTCAAATGGTACGTGATCATACACCATCCATAAATTACACTAAGCTACTATCATCCAAAATATGACATGTCTCTGCATTACAGCTGTATGTGTCTTGGAAAAGATGCTGCTTCTGGACCCTGACCAGAGGCTGAGCGCCTCTGAGGCGCTTGACCTCCCTTTCTTCAGTGAGTTCAGAGATACGGAGGAGGAGACCGAGGCGCTGCCATACGATCAGACCCTAGACAACACAGAACTGCCGCTGGACCTGTGGAAACGTAATAAAAAAATACTGGAGTTGTTCAAAAATATTCTGAAAGAAATATGACAGAAGTCTGTTGAATCCAGAAGCGAATGTAAAATCATGTTATCTTAGCTTAAAAGACCTCATAAAACCGTGTCTCCTCTACATCACACTATCAGATTGCTGGCTTACTTGTGGTTCTGAGGGTATTTAAAAGTAGAATGGGAGGGCCCCGCCCCTCCCTGAGGCTGGTTCTGCCAGAGGTTTCTTCCTGTTAAAAGGGAGTTTTTCTTTCCCACTGTCACCAAGTGCCTGCTCACAGAACTCATCTGATTGTTGGGGTTTTCTCTGTATATTTGTAGGGTCTTTACAACATAAAGCTCCTTGAGATGACTGTTGTTGTGATTTTACATTATATAAAATAGAATTCAATTGAAATTAATCGAGTTGCAAAAAACCTATTACTCAGCTGTTAATGTTTTGGCACAGACCTTTACTGTTTTGGTCCTTTCCCCCCAATTCTCCTTTTTTTGTTCTAATCTGCAGCCAACAGTTGTTCTTCAGGTTAAAAAAACAAATCTAAGAAAGCCTCTAATGCTTCCTGGTTAACACCAAACAACCAAACAAAGTGGGGCATTTAACTGCTGAAGAACCAGATTTTTCCTTTAGATAACCCCAAACATACAGAACAGATGTATAGATAATAGGTAAAAATTGACAATGTGAATGACAGTAAAATAAAAAATAAAAAAATTAATTAATTCCATGAAGTTGCAGTACCTTCCCTAGGCCAAACGAGGTCAGTGTACCCTAATCTTACTTGATGCATATTTCAAATCTAATAATACACAGAAGCTGCCTTGATTTGTAACATAATCAGCGAGGCAGGCAGTGTCTTAGTTGTTAAACTTGAGTTTAGCATTGCTGTTAATAACAGTTTCCTCTTTTGTGTTGTGCAGGTCACACTTTCACAGAGATACTGACCTTCAGGCCACCCAAGGACTCGAAAGAGACGTCACTTTAAGAGCACACACGCACGCACACACGCACACACACACGCACACACACACATTCTTACAAATAAAATTGCAGCTACTTGCACCTACACCCACAAATATTCTTTTCCTTTGACATGTAGTATTTGTGTAGAAAGACTGAATGTTATTAGTTTGTCAAAATGTTTGCTTTCAATAAATGTGGTCTATTCAGTTGTTTTAAGTTGTGTTAAGTTGTTGTGTTGTAGTTTGTTATATGCATGTGTTTGATTAGTTTGAGATATATAAAGTGCTTTGAATTGTCAATAAGACTAGAAAACTGCTATATAAATGCCTTTCTATTTAAATGTTTGCTGTTCGAGTGGTCAGACCTGTGACATTTCCTTTTTGGGCTACTCTCTACAACTATCACCACCCTAGATTCAAAGCACTCCTTTTATCTGGCTCTGAGCCTGTAGCCCAAAGATGGGAGTACTGCTGCAGTGTAATTCTCCACTCTTTAAAATCAGCTTCTGGAAAACTGACCCAAGGTGCACAAACTCATCCATCTAAATCGGTTATACATAGCTGATGAAATTCTGAAACCTTTGTGTAACCACTATGGGTCGCACTGTGCTACGAAACAAAAGCAATGGATTGCTCGGTGACGAAGAAGTGTGATTTCTTTTCAGCTCTTACTGATATGAGCTGTGTGCTTAGTCATGTTGACTGGCTGCCTGACTGCTCTGTGTCAGTGGACTGTTTCCCGGAGATACACTTCAGCTTTGTACAGTAAAAATGGATAATACCTTCACATCCAAACCAAAAGGAGAAAACACAAATGTCATCAGAATTTCGGTGTTTCTGTTTCTGGCAGGTAACACAATCCTTTGATGAACTCAAATGTAGCTGTGATAAAAAAGTTAGCGTGGCACACTGTACATAGGGCTAATGCGTTTCTATTGACAGTTAACCTTTTTCTGCTTTTTCAGTTTTGTTGCTGTTTTTCCAAATTCTTACGTTTAACATTCTACATTTATCTACAAAAGTATGCTGAAAAAGTAAATTGAATCAAGTTAGACATAATGAGCACTATTATTTTTGATTCTTAAAATATATTTTGCTATCGTATATTTTTTGTATAACTTTAAGCTCAACAGCTGCCAAGTTAGTAGTGGGTAACTTATGGATCCATGTGAAGATTATTCATAAAAACAATTTGAAGGCTATGCAATTTATTTAAGCCTCCCAAGTAAAATAGTTACTGGTAATATCTAGTTATCAGCCTGTGTAAGCCTATGCATCAGTAATCCAAGGAGCTTGGCAAGAAAAGCGGCTGGACTTCTTTATGGTGAGGTGAGGTGAAATGAAGTCCAGTTGTTTTTCTTTCCAAGCTCCTTAGATTAGCATGACCTGGATGACTGAGAACCTGCACAGATATATGCATAGGTCTATGGCCATGATTAACAAGATAATACTAACACGGTGTAATTATAAACACAAGTACAGAAGAAGTGTAAAGTCAGCACAGAGCCTGCAGTAATGCTCCACTTAGCTAACGTTAGATGATTCTTCACATACCTGTTAGCTTAAAATAAGCAGCAAGTAGAGTTGATTAATAAAAACAATCCCAAATAAAAAACTTGTTAACAATCTGTCAAAACAGCCCAAAATAGCTGAAACTTTGTTTAGGCCTACATTTTCTTGTAAACTTAAAAGGTTACATGTTTTATGTAGTTTGCTTTACTGGTTGTTAGGCTTTCACCCAGTACTGTCTTCAGATGGAAAGCCCTCTGAACTGGCTGACAGTGGTAAGTGATTTTACATTTAATTCAATACAAGTCTTATGCTAATGCTGTTCTAGGTATCATCATAAACAATATATAATAAATGAACTGTAGCTGTAAATAAATTTGAACATTATGTGCAATAAAGTACTAATTTTTGTGACATTTTCTGAAGGCTTGAAACCAGTCATTATTGGCCCAAACTATGTGACGGTGGGTGTGCCAAGCAGCATTGAGTGCGGTTCCAGTTGTGGGACATGTACCTACTCCATGTCTCTGGATGGACAAAGTGCCGTGGGTCAAAGCAACATGCTAGCCTTTACTATTAATAGTTGGGTACCTTCTTTAACAGTGACATGTACAGTCTCAGGCGACAATGGGCTGAGTGCTACGGCAACAAAGAACATCCAGGTTTTAGGTATGAGCTTGTTAGATCTTTTACAAAACTAAGAGCAGTTCACTGAGTTATTGTCATGTGAAAAATTACGGACACTAGCCCATACTGGTTCCACTAATGACAAATATATTTTTTTCTATTATAGCTGGACCTACCAATGTTTCCATTTCAGGCCCCAGTTTGATGAATCCCACAGTGAGCCATACCTATAATTGCTATGCGTACTGTCAGCCATCCTGCTACTACAGCTGGAGGACAGATAAAGGCCCATGGATCCGTAGTCAAGGAAATGTTGTTTCTATCACTCCTCGGGAGATGGACACCTCCAAAACTGTCACCTGCAAAGCCACCAATCGCATGTCTGGGCTGTTTGCCACTGCTACTCAAAACATAGCTGTGCCATGTAAGTCAAGATTTGGAGACAAATGCAAAACTGGGAGCAAATACCTTTACACAAAGATTATTTTACTAATAACAGAGGGATATGGTCATAACTACTTCTTAAGTTCCAGTAATTTTTTTTAAATAGAAGAAATCTGGAAGTTGAATATTTAAAGAAGATTGTTACAGACGGTTAGCCTGCCCAAGCAGAACTGCAAGCCTTTCATTTGCTAACTCTAAAGTTTATAGGTTTAGATGTTTTGTACCATATTTAATCTTCTACAAAAACAGAAGTGTCAAAGGGACTTGTTTTATGTAGTGATGCACCAATTCATTTTTTTCTAAGAACCATAACTGACAGTATAGACAAAAATCATTTTTTCTTCAATGCAAAACTATTAGGTTCATAATAAATATTTACCCCAAACTGCAGTAAGTTCTAATATGTTACCACACTTAAACAACTTCAAACAAAATCACCTACTACTGGAAAGAGCTACAAATGATGAAAAAATGTTTTTCAGATATTAAAATAGTTGTTGTACATCCCATTTTACCTTACATATTCAACCATACCTAACAAAAGCAAGAGATTTGTGTACCAAAAGTTGCACTGATCCTCTTTATTCATCTCACAACTGCTTTGATGCTTTTCTTTTACCAACCCTGCTGGCTGGCTCTGACCCATGGGTAGTAAATTTGTATCTAAGAATTATAAATGGCTAACAATAACCCCAGCTGTGTCCCAAAACGTAGGCTGTATCCTTCGGAGGCTGCATTTGAAGACCGATTACGTCACAGCCAGGCGACGAGGGCTGTCCCAATTCGTCGACTCCTTCAAATGCGGCCAACAAATGCGTCCTTCATTTCCCCAAATTTGAAGGATGGGTCGGGTGTGTCCTTCATGGCCCACCATATCCCAGAATTCATAGCGCGACCCAGCCAATTCCAGTTTCCAACAATGGCGGCAGCTACTAAGTTTTAATATTACTCTTATTTGGTCTGAGTGCAGTCAGTTGCCCATAGACGTTGCCTGATGAGTGCTAATGACTAAATAGAGTGCACCTGTGTGTAATCTAATGTCAGTACAAATACAGCTGCTCTGTGACGGCCTCAGAGGTTGTCTAAGAGAATATTGGGAGCAACAACACCATGAAGTCCAAAGAACACACCAGACAGGTCAGGGATAAAGTTATTGAGAAATTTAAAGCAGGCTTAGGCTACAAAAAGATTTCCCAAGCCTTGAACATCCCACGGAGCACTGTTCAAGCGATCATTCAGAAATGGAAGGAGTATGGCACAACTGTAAACCTACCAAGACAAGGCCGTCCACCTAAACTCACAGGCCGAACAAGGAGAGCGCTGATCAGAAATGCAGCCAAGAGGCCCATGGTGACTCTGGACGAGCTGCAGAGATCTACAGCTCAGGTGGGGGAATCTGTCCATAGGACAACTATTAGTCGTGCACTGCACAAAGTTGGCCTTTATGGAAGAGTGGCAAGAAGAAAGCCATTGTTAACAGAAAACCATAAGAAGTCCCGTTTGCAGTTTGCCACAAGCCATGTGGGGGACACAGCAAACATGTGGAAGAAGCTGCTCTGGTCAGATGAGACCAAAATGGAACTTTTTGGCCAAAATGCAAAACGCTATGTGTGGCGGAAAACTAACACTGCACATCACTCTGAACACACCATCCCCACTGTCAAATATGGTGGTGGCAGCATCATGCTCTGGGGGTGCTTCTCTTCAGCAGGGACAGGGAAGCTGGTCAGAGTTGATGGGAAGATGGATGGAGCCAAATACAGGGCAATCTTGGAAGAAAACCTCTTGGAGTCTGCAAAAGACTTGAGACTGGGGCGGAGGTTCACCTTCCAGCAGGACAACGACCCTAAACATAAAGCCAGGGCAACAATGGAATGGTTTAAAACAAAACATATCCATGTGTTAGAACTGGCCCAGTCAAAGTCCAGATCTAAATCCAATCGAGAATCTGTGGCAAGATCTGAAAACTGCTGTTCACAAACGCTGTCCATCTAATCTGACTGAGCTGGAGCTGTTTTGCAAAGAAGAATGGGCAAAGATTTCAGTCTGTAGATGTGCAAAGCTGGTAGAGACAGACCCTAAAAGACTGGCAGCTGTAATTGCAGCAAAAGGTGGTTCTACAAAGTATTGACTCAGGGGGCTGAATAATTACGCACACCCCACTTTTCAGTTATTTATTTGTAAAAAATGTTTGGAATCATGTATGATTTTCGTTCCACTTCTCACGTGTAGCACCACTTTGTGTTGGTCTTTCATCGTGGAATTCCAATAAAATTGATTCATGTTTGTGGCTGTAATGTGACAAAATGTGGGAAAGTTCAAGGGGGTCGAATACTTTTACAGTCACTCGGATAACTTAAAAATGTAATTGTTTGGCTTTTTTCGGTGTATTATTTTTTCTGGAGTAAATTGGTGTGGCTGAGATCAAAGTTATTAGATTAGATTAAATTAAACTTTAAACTCGGGTGGGTTCCTCTGGGATTTTCACACAGCTGAATAAATGTCAAACAGAAAACTGATTAAACAGAAGTGTGAGATGGTCGAGAATTTACGCCAGCGTCCGGTTATATTTAGATAGCAAGGAACAGATGGCTGAGTTTATTTAACTCCACCGAGACGGAGACGCAGATCTGAAGGCTAGACCGTCCCATTTCACAGCCTCGCACTTCCGGCCTTGTCGGTCTTCAAAGGACCCGGTCCACGTAGACCGCGAAGGCCGGTCCGAAGGATGCGGCCTATGTTTTGGGACACCGCTACAGTATAGCTAGCTACTAGCTACCTTCCTAACCTAAGAAACAGAAGTGATAAGCGAATGTTTGCTGTCATGACAAAGGTTTGTTGGTAGTGTGTTTAAAAGAGATATTGACGAGGTAATTGTATATTAACTTTGTACGACAATGTGTTTCACAAATCATCTTTCTTTCAGTTGGACCATCAAAGGTTCAGATTGAAGGCCCAGACGTTGTAGAAATTGCGGAAACGTATAAATACGTGTGTACTGCCGAATGTCACCCTTCTTGTCGCTTCCTGTCGTCTGTGGACAGTCAGACCGTGAGGGGCAATGTGATCGAGATGACAGTGGATCATCCGCTTAAATCGGTGACTCTCAAGTGTGAAGCGCAAAATACTGCCTCAAGGAAGACAGTTACAGCCCTAAAAACTGTACAGATGAAAGGTAGACAGGCTGAAAACCATGGTTTGATGTAAAGCTTACAGGATATTAACTGTTTTTACTGATACTTGACTCAGATCTTTGCTTTCTGCTTGTGTTCAGTGATAGACCGCAGTCTGTCCACTCGCCCTGAAGAAACTTCAGCCCTGCTGCTCCTTGCCTTCGGCATTGCTACTGCCTTCACACTGTGATTGAGTACAGAACAGGTGAGGCTCTTCATGTTGCACAGTTTATTATCATTATTAAATATTACACAAATAGTTTTTGGCTGTAGTAGTAGTAGTAGCATGTTTATTATTATGTTTGAGTATTATTATTATACAGTATTTATTATTTGGTAGCATCAGTTTAGTGTCAATAACATTTTTTTTCATCAGATAAATAATTTATCTTCTTGTCTCTGTGTTCTTTTTTCTCAGATCTTTTTTAGGCGCTGAGGATCAGTTTTGCGAAGAAATGGCGCTGAATTGCTGACTCACCTGTAGCCTAGTGCACATTGATCTTATGCATTTGCCTCACATGTTGTTAATAGGCGGATCCATGTTTGTACTTGATAAATTAACTTGAAATGTTGTATGCGAAGGGAGTGTGCGTACAAAGCTGACATTATTCTGCACTGATACAATTTAAATGTGTACAAAGAACACATTCTTCTTCTGACATGTACAAAATTATCATCTCTATTAATAAAAACGGACCTACTCTGGAACTCAATGACAGTCTTTTTTTTTTTTTTTTTTTGGCCTGTCCCGTTTGGCTCTTTTGCCATCAGAATTGTTGTCTAAAGGCAAAGAAAGATACCCAACGGATTTACTTTACCAAACTGACCATCCCAGCCTTGCCGTAATGGTCCATTTGATTCACCTTTTTATTGTTTATTTTATTTTCACTTACTGAATACGGGACAGACTTGACTGGGGGAAAGAAGGGGAGAAAGAAAGAGGGAAAGAGAAACAGCTGAGAAGAGGGACGGGGGAGAAGGGCAAAAGACAAAAACCAACAGAACGGGCAGAGAAAAAAAAATGCATATATCAATCACCTGGATCACCACCTGGGTCTGGGTGCAGTTCCCCCCTCCAGGGGCAAGGGTACCTAGACCCGGTTTGTAGAGTACGCTTGGGGAGTGTGATCGTGTGTACAACGTCTCTTTATGTCTGTCTCCACGTTGGTTGAGTGTGGAGTGAGTGCATATGAGAGCATGAGGGTGGGAATGGATGTTTGTGTCTGTGTGTGCCTGTATGTCTGTGTCTATATGTCAGGTTGGGTGTCAGGCGCCACCTCTCTGGGGACATCTCAGGCCTTCCAGGTTTTGGAGGCCTATCTCCCCCTACCACCACTTCCCCTGCCAGTGGCGGACCCCCTCAGACATCGGTGCGTTGGTGGTTCTTTGTGTCCAGGGATGGGCGTCCAGGTACACACCGGCTCACTCCTTGGCGGCCGCTTATCGGGGCCTGGAGCCTGGGGCTCGCTCGGGCCACTTCGGAGGTGGGGTGCCCCCGGCCTCTCGGCCTGGGGCTCGGTCACTCAGGCGCAGCTGGCTGCCGGCGGAGCTCACGGGCTCATCACTGCAACTCCCCCTGGCTTCTGCTCCGCGGCTGCTGAGTGAGCCCTCATCTGGGACTCTCCTCAGCTCTTTCCGGGACAGTGGCGCAGCTGCCCCTCTGTTGGTCTTCCTTGGTCTCTTGTGTTCTGGGGGCCTCTGGATGTCTGGAGTTTTGATCTCCTCCACACCTGCTTCACACCCTGGAGGACGGGGCTGTGGCCCCCCCACACCCTCTAGCAGATTATTACATGAAGGAACCTTTTAAAAAAACAAAAACAAAAAACAAGCGCGTTCATGCTCACAGGTGTACACACGGGTGATCACACCCACAAACTACACCCTTTTTGGCTCCTACCTCAAAGCACACTGTGTTCTGTTGATCTTATGTGCTGCACAATAATGTTTAACATTTAGTATTTACTGTCATATTCCCATTTATCATTGTGATGTTGTTTATTCTATTACTCTTGTTCTCTTCTGCTTGCTCTCTTTTTTCTTTCTCAGCAGGTGACAGTCTTTTTTTAAATGGTTTGGGTAAACCTAGAGGCAAACACTTATATCTTTATAAATGGAAAATCAGTGCTAAAATAAATCAGAACTAATCACTATTAATCCATGTGTGGTGTTATCAGCTTTACTACAGGAGCTGAAGCTTCTGAAAATCATAAAGATGTAAAATATCTTTATATAAAGCGCCTTGAGGCACTATATAAATAAAATTGAATTAAAATTGAAAAATTTAATATAGTTCAGTTACAAAAGTTGTACCTGGGAAATTTTTGCTTTGTCACCCAATCAAACAATCAACAAAAGAAAAAAAGCTGGTGAAGTCACACATACTTGAGTCATCTCAGTTTCCTACTAAATCAGTAAATAAGAAAAGTTAATTTAATGAGAAAAAAACTTTTTTAGTGTTATATTTTTAAAGGCGATGGGTGGCAGGTGTGTTTCACTTGGCCTTAGCAACATTTAAAGCCAGGAGAAAATGTGAAAAAGTTCAAATTTCTATTATTCATTTATTTTTAATATTATGCCGCTTTTTTACTGGTTTGTCACACTTGAGATTAAATGAGGCTGTTTGTGACCCGTGAACTGAAATGACTTTCACGCCCTGCTTTATCAGAAGAAAGAATGAGTAACCAGCACAGCCACAGTTTCCTGTTGATAAGAATCTGCACTTAATGAGCAGTCAAGTGTTATTTAATTTCACAATGTTTGCAGTCTCAGGGAAAATGTCATATGTTTCATAAATCTTATCACATTTAGAACTTTATTTGCGGTTACCTATGAATTAATCTGTTAAGTGTTTCCCACACTTGTGCATTTAAAGGCTGTAATCTCATGTCACAAAGAGCACTGGCAATTAACACTGAGCTGCTAAAGGCGCATGAACTTATTACTTAACAAATGAACTTTTCATTTTGGTTTTATAAAAATAAATGTTGAAAACACCAAACGACACCTCCACACTGACACTGTAAATCATCGCAGGAAGATGACCTGCACGTATTTGCTCTGACTGCAATAATTAGCAGATTAAGTATTTATTAATTCTATATCTTTTCTGCTTAAAGTCAAACCTCTTCTCAGTAAAACTGTTGTGAATTATTTTGCTGAAGATGTGATGAATTTTAAGTACCTAATACACATTATAAAAAAAGTGTAATATAAATGTCAAATGATTCAGCTCTGTATTAGGTCTCATTACTTTTAAGATGTGCAGCAATTTCCTCATCAGCAGTAAAAAAGAAAAGACTAGATAAAAACAGAAACACCAAATGTGACTTAAATTTGAAACAAACATTAAAACTGTGATTTCCAATTAGCCCAACTTTATATACATGGTTACACAAACAGAACTTTCTGTTTCAGATGTATGGCCTGTGGGTATAGGCATCCAAGAGTGTCAGAAATGCCACCGTGCCGGTGGTTAGCAGAGTTGCCTCACAGCAAGAAGGTCCTAAGTTCAATTCCACCATCAGGCCGGGGTCTTTCTGTGTAGAGTTTGCACGTTCTCCCTGTGTTTGAGTGTTTCTCTCCGGGTACTCCGGCTTCCTCCCACAGTCCAAAGACGTGCAGTTACTGGGGATAGGTTAACTGGTAACTCTAAATTGCTCATAAATGTGAATATGAGTGAGAATAGTTGTCTGTCTCTATGTGTTTGCGCGGTGAGAGACTGGTGACCTGTCCAGGGTGTACCCTGCCTCTCGCCCTAACACAGCTGGGATAGGCCCCAGCAACCCTGAAAATGATATGTGGAAGAGAATGGACGGATGGGAAAAAATGTGACTATGAGACAAACGGATACTGTAAGTGTGCTGTCTCATTTAAATCTAATTGAAGAGGAACTAGAGCCGCAAAGAAACAAAAAGGAAAATCTAAAATAAAGTGTGAAATACAGAAAAATAAATAAATAATCTTAGGAAAGAAAGCTGGACTAACCATTGTGTGTTTGGGATAATAATTTTGAAGTTTATAAAAATCCTGGCAACTTGAATTACAACATATCTGTGATTAACTAGGTTAACTATAAAATTTTAGCTTCAATGGCAAGTGTTTCTACCTTGGCCACATAATACATTTATTTATAGGCGCCTTTAAGACCCTCAAGCTCACCTTACAATAACACAAAAACAATAGCAGCAATAAAATACAATAAACATGGCAAAATAAGATTTAGACTTAAGGTAAAAAAACAAAAACACAAGCATGAAAGTATAAAAGCTGAGTAAGGTAAAAATGAACTAAGACAGATCAGGTGTATGCAATTCTGAATAGATGGGTTTTGAGACGTGATTTAAAAGTGGAGAGAGACAGATCTGTGAGCACAGGATTATTTTTTTGCAGCACTGTTCAGAGAAAAAAAGAAACCCAGACAAAAGAACCAGCTGATAACCAACATGTACTTCTTTAACCCCTCGAGGTTGTTTGCTTTTTGTGTTGAGTGGTTGATAACAGTGGGCATACCATTTCTCCCATGTATTATAAGGACTGTACAGTCTTTATGATCATAAGAGAGTGATACTTCAGCATCTGCGGACACCATGGTTCATCAGTCAGCCTGTCTGCTGCTGCTCACGTGTCTGCCTGGTAAGGAAGACACACACACCTCACGTCCGCTTGCATGAGTTGGAATTATCTAAGCGCAGGTTATCAGATTTTTATGAAAATGGTATGGTGAAACTTTTTTATGGACTTATTGAATTGAAAGTTGAATTTATTTATTGTAGTGTGACCTGGAACATATGGAATATATGGTGTTAATTTGACATGAAATTTGTACATTTTTCATGATAAAGGATTTTATGGCAACACAACTGAGCTACTTAGAACCACAGCAGACTCTACATGTAAGATTCCTCGATCACTATGTTTCTAAATCTTTTAAAAATGATGTTTTATCTCGAACTTTTGTCAAAAATTGCAATCCAATAACTTACTTGAATGTAACAGCTTTATCTGTTCAACCATTCCCAGCAGATGGACCATCCTCAGTGGTGCTCAGTGGGGTTGATGTAGTGACTCTGGGGATACTGTACAGTTTTCAGTGCTCGGCCAGTTGTTACCCTGCATGTCAGTTCACCTGGACCTGGGGGAATGTGACTTCCCAGGGCCCAGAGCTGAGCTTGCAGCTTACAGAACTACAGGCAGCCCAAAACCTGACGTGCACAGCTGTCAATCCTGTTACCAAAACAGCAGCCACTGCCCAAAAGATGCTGCAAGCAGCAGGTAGTGCCAGCAAGATTCAGTTTGATCTCATAAGTTGTCTTAGCAGCAATAACTTCAAGCAAATGTTTTTTATTTTCAAACTTTTCAGCCGGACCTTCAAACATACAGATACGTGGCCCAGGAATTCTCACTACAGGAGTTGCGTCCAACTTCACCTGCTCGGCTGAGTGCTACCCCTCCTGCAACTATATATGGAGAGTTGACTTCGATGGCATGACATTCAGTACTGTAGAAGGAAACCCGGTTTCCATCGTTCCACCTCCCAGCACTCTCTCTGGGTCTCTGACCTGCAAAGCTCAGAACTCCCTCTCACATCTTTACATCTCCACGACTCAGTCTCTGCAGGTGGCATGTACGTAAAGGTTTTTAAGTCTGCGAGTTAACAATAAAGACACTGAGAACTTCTTATTAGGCAGTGCATCATTTGTGTTGCTACTTGCTAAAGTTAAGTTAAAACCGAATATCATCTGATCTTGTGGGGACTTTTGTCATTTGTTGTTTGCTGTGAGACTTTGAATCACGTGATCACAGTGAATCCCAGAAAGCTGATTGTGTTCATCTGAATGTTACATTTTCATTGGGAGTTTTGTGCGTAAACCTTATAAACGGTACATTTGCACAATGACTGAAACTTGCACTGCTGACGGGCTGTGAGGTCAGCTTCACGATCACTGATATGCAATTTGTTTCAGAGGTGGCGTTCCTCCTGGTCCAGGGTGTTTACACCCTCATCATTGTCATTGAACAAGAGTGGCCACTCGCCTGTAGGCGGAAAAGGACTGCAGAGTCCTGGCCTGAGTAGTTAGCTTTTCTGTTTTATACCATCTGCTTAGCCAGAGGTTGTTTAGTGTATAAATCCAGCTGGAAATCTTACAGTCTAAGTCCTATTAGCTGTGAATATTGGTTCAGTTTCTTCCCAGAAAGCTTCAGCGCATTCAGTATTCTTGTTCTACACATGACAGGTATCAGAGTTCAGTTTAAAGCTGAAAGTTCGTAAGTGTTCATGAAACTGAGCTTACTGTTTGATATTTTAGCTGTGTTTACATGAGCATCCATCATGGTTTGCTAACCATGTGTATGACTATCAAAGCAACCTCTGTTTCACTGACACCTCAGTCACTGCCTCTGTGTCAGACTACATTGATGCAGTAATTTGTGATAAAGGCAAATAATACAGTGGCTAAAAAAAAGCAAAATAAGGAAAAAAACATATTCCACAATATAACTGAAATATGTATCTTTCTATTAGCAAAGCATTTGCAGCGTTGAGTAAGAAATGAAACTTCTTATCTTGTCTGTTCTGCTTCTAACCTCAGATGGACCATCCTCAGTGGTGCTCAGTGGGGTTGATGTA